TAGCTTAACAGGATCCACTACACCATACTTTAGTCGAAGGAATCGTTTGGTCGGTTCGAAGGCTGCAGGTCCTGATGAGCTGAGATTAGCTACAAGATTCTCCAATGAAGCGTTGAGATGCGCATATGAATCAATGAATCTGAACTTAGCGGTACTGAATGCTGTATATGACTCCATGGATTGTGGTATGATGTTGATATCCCATGGATTTTGTGTGCATTTTGCAAGTGCCTTGATTATCTCATGTGAGTCATAACCCTTAAGATTGTGGAAGAAAATGTGTATGTACTTCTGTGTCCGACGTTCTAAGTTACATAACGGGTGAGTGTATCCTAAGACTTTGCCGGTGACAATGATCCAGATGTTTCTTATCAGTATACTTTGAGTCACAAATAACACAATTAGGATTTGAATCAAGAAGTGCCAAAGTTGCCTGATCTACCTTCTCCATTGGTTTTACCATCTCCAATACTGGTCTAAGACGCTCATACAATACATTAAGGGGTTCCAGGAACTCGTCGTTAGAATCAATTCCATGGAAGACCTGTACCTGCTCATTTTCATACCCTGGTAGATGAGACGATAGTAGATATGCGGCCGTGCGGGGGATATGAACTGCAGTCTTCACGGTAGCGGCATCACTCTCATCTGCATCGTCTTTAGGCTCTAGGATGCATTCAATGTCAGCGACGATGATGAATGGATGCTTGATGGTCTTCCTGTAGCTCTTGCACTTTAACGTAAGTTGCTCCTTTTCATACTATTCCTTACTCTTAGGCTTACGTCCTGGAGGGGTCTTTCGCTGCTTCATGTCCTGTGGCATTATCACCCGCTGTGGCTTAAACTTACTACAATCTATTTCATGATCCTCCAACCCACTCTTCTTCATAAACTCTCTGAAACATCTGAGACAATAGTATTTCTCTTTACAGTTCGATGACTTCCTACACAGCAGTTTCGATATGTCCTTCGCTAAAAACCAATGACTTGTGCGTGAGTTCTCCAACAGAGAAGAACGGTATAGAAAAGATTGGGCGACATCTGTCCGACTCAGAAAATAGGTTATCCGGACAATAGTTTATATCGGATCCTACCGTACAATTTTCTTGAAACTTTCCATAAAGTATGGTGGTTATAGGACGAATAATCTGTGTAAGTTTGAGCGAGTTTCTATGTGCCAAATTTAAGATATCACCTTAAACACAAAAAATATCTCCAATTCGGTGGTTTGTAGTGGTTCCAAGGCATATATCTGGAGATCCAATGATACGATTTTCTTGAAACCTTCGATATTTGGTCAAATAACTTTATCGAAATCACCAGTCGGTCACCACTGAACTTATAGTTCGTGGACGAACAGTGAACATACTCTTGTTCGGTCATAGCAATTTCAAACGAGACCCGGCTAACAAACGTTTAAACAGGGACCTCACTAGATAATTCAACCAATGAATTCAATCGAGAACTATAACAATCAAAAGTACAAACAATGATCTAAATCGATAATTCAACCAACGAATTCAATCGAGAGATCAATAAGCAAATACTAATCAAAGTAACAATAACTTGCTTCTTCAATAAGTAGGAGTTTAGTCGAATATGATAAAGGACTAATATATTTATTTTGTAAATTATCTGGTTTATATACCTATCCAGCCATATCCTAATATCTAGGATATCCCTCACTAACAGGCATCACCTTGACCGTTAACACCTCTATACGGATAATAATTGCACAAGACCATTCTACACGTTTGACTGGCTGATACACTGACTGATCCACTGTCTGGTTCACCGATCAGATTTTCACGTCTCTTGTTATCGGAACCCTGGATAATTTTTTACTCTAACCCAATTATTATACACCATAACCCTAATGAGATGTATCTAATATCTATACTAATTAGGGTTAGCCCAACAGCTCCAATTCAAACACACTACTATATCATTTAGCTGTCAGATCTCAAGCTGTTGAGCACGTAAAAATTTCAAGGTCCTGCACATATCCTAAATAACTGTTTTGACCGAATTTCTGACCCGCAACCAATTAGTCAGTCAACTATAGAATTAGATAGCAAATGACACGATTGGGGTGCTGGAATTTTGATTTGGGTCGGAGGAAGCTCACAGCAGAAATCTTAACATGAAAACGAAAAGTTGTATTTTCAAAACTCTGTCCCATTTTCAGATTTGAAAATTTGTGAACCCACGATTGACTGATTGGATGAAATTTTTGCCCACAAACCAATTAGTCGGTTAATTAATGATGATATGAAACCAAATTGAGGTACTGGTAGTCATAATTTCGAAAAAAATTGAAAAATCATACTCTCCCATACTCTGTCCCATTTTCGGTTTTTGAAGCTGAAATTTCCAGGGCCGAAATTTTACCGTTTTGACCGAATTTCTGACCCGCAACCAATTAGATAGTCAACTATAGATAGCAAATGAAATTTCCAGGGCCGAAATTTTACCGTTTTGACCGAATTTCTGACCCGCAACCAATTAGTCAGTCAACTATAGATAGCAAATGACACGATTGGGGTGCTGGAATTTTGATTTGGGTTGGAGGAAGCTCACAGCAGAAATCTTAACAAAACGAAAAGTTGTATTTTCAAAACTCTGTCCCATTTTCAGATTTGAAAATTTGTGAACCCACAATTGACTAATTGGATGAAATTTTTGCCCACAAACCAATTAGTCAGTTAATTAATGATGATATGAAACCAAATTGAGGTACTGGTAATGAATAACCCGGAAGTATACAGCAAATATTTTGACATATTTTGTCACATTAGGGATATTTCCTCAGCTAGCCTTGAGGTCTGAACTGCCCTATTTGAGCCAATTTTTCCCGGTGCACCAAGTGTGCAAGAACTTACATTCCCATTCTACTAGTTCTATTGACCTTTTAACGTTTGCTGACATCTGTACTTTTAATTCTTTTAGTTATTTTATACACCTTTGGGTACTCGCCGCATTTGTTGATTGTGTTAAATGTTCGGAAGTAGAGGGAATTGATATGAGCTGCTTTGGTCCTTTATTTTTTCGTAAGGTCGTTGTGAAACTATTAGACGCCGCAAAATCTCTTGGAGCCAATAAACAGGCGACTTAAGGAGCTCGATACATTTTGATGGGTATTTGTGAAAATCGATCCGCTGGCTGTTACGCAGCATCACCAGTCGATGAACAGCATTGAAAGCATTTGTCGCGTCAACCATTATACGCGCTTCAGCTGATTCAGCTTGGAATTGCTGTCTAATGAAATGGACTGCTGCTTCAGTACCAGATTTTAGCCCTGTGCTAATTTGTAATGGTCCCGCTGTTTCCTGAATATCCATCTTAAGTGCCCAAGCGATAGCCTTCCCCACTATCCTTCTCACATTCAAGCCAATACCAATTGGTCTAACACCCGCGCCGGGCATTTGTTAAGCGGTATTATACGGCAGTTGACATAGGAATCAATGATAGATGGATCAATGTATTCAGATGCCAACGAGCGTGCAAATTTGGCTAGCTCATCACGTAAATCTTGCCCCTCTCCTTTCAAATTATTGTGTAGCAGAAAATACTTGAAGAATTCTGCATCAGTGATGGACGGTCCTGCTGCAGCTGCACCGTTGGTCATCTTTGACGCCCGGCCAATCATATTTCCATCGATTAAGTCGAAATATGAGGAGTTTAGCTTCATTATTGGGCCGCATAGAAAGATAAAGAGAGCTAGAGGAAACTTTGGACGCGACCCCTTTATCAAGATAGTTAAGGAGTGCCTTATCCAACTCCAGTGGGGTAGCTTAAGTGTTCAAAGGAGGAGCTACTGCTAGATGAATGCACTCGGTCAGTGCGCACGGAGATCCAGCCTGGCAGCAGCCCCTTGGTAATGGTATACTCGAAGGTCTGCATGAGTGTGCTCCTGGACCCTCTGTTGCCTTTGACCTCGCAATGGTATCTAAGGAGTTTGAGAAGGTTGTCATGAAGGCGAGGGGGTGGGGGTAGCTTAATAATGTATATAATTTGACAGTTCGACCCGCGATCACGGGCCACAGCGCGGCTTGCGTAATTTTATTCACTGATGCTATTTACAAATACAAGTGCACTGTTCTGTCATTTACAGGTTTAAATATGAACAGACATCAGGATTCATTCGTATCACAAAGTCACTCAAATATGTACCCATTTCATCCTGAGTTCAACGGTCCTTCAATCTGCATTTATTAATATTATACAACCATAATCACGACCAGAGACTCTAAGTCTATTCTTTATTTGAATAGTCAAATCTGTCCTTATGCCCTGGTCCTCTAGATTTGTGCGTCTCGCCCTTGTGCTAGAAAATGACAAGTTTAACAATCCTGTGCCTGTGTTGAGTATTCAACAGTTTAACTGTATGTCATGTCTTCAGACTCTAGCTCTCTAAGCTCTAGCACCACTTGTTAGATCATTGCTAACACAAGCCGCATCTAAACGCCCATTACTGTCATTAGCCTTGCTCCAAGCAACAGTGACCAATGCACAATAGAAACGAGCGCATCACCTAGGCAACCAATGGCAACGCAGACATCTCCAAGGCAACCAATGGCATAGTTTTTCCGATTCCTCCAGCCAATCCGCGGTCGAGAAAAACGATTATGTTCCTGGTTACATTAGCCTGATTCTAAAATTAGCACACCCGGACAAGGCATCGTTATCACGTTATCACAGACCCTTATCTTTACAAAGCGAACAGGCTGTAACTAAAGTTCACCTGTAACTACACCTGTTCTTGACAGAAGACATTTTTCAAAAGTTGGTTCGTTCTGTAGAGCTCGATTTGGTGGCTTGCTGGGCAGTCAAAATCTGAAAAACTGACTATCAACGGTTAAGTTACAGTTGATTGAAGTTGTACTTACTTCCCTGGATCAGACTGTTAGCACCTTGCAGGTCGTTAATCCAGGTTTCCCATTGGTTGCACGCGGTAAGCCACGTGAACAGCACCTGATGGTGCCGCTGTTCGCTGTTGCCTGGTGCCCACCCTCAGTTCTCTCTCTACAATTGGACTGCGGCTGAAATCTGGAGATGATTAGTGGATCTCAGACCTCCTACAGGTAGTTTAGTCGACCTTACTTTGTGTTTTCTTGTCGTAGATATTCGTTAAACATCAAACTGGGTGGTAATATTACACGTTCCCACTTCTGCTAACAGCTAACTATTTTAGTATTTTATACAAGGAACGCACAATTAATTATTTCCTTTCAGTGTTACACTGCAAGAAGAGCATAGAAAATAAAGATCACAGAGCGAGTTGTATCCTTTGAATAATCAATGTCTAAAATCGTATCTGTGTCAATGTTCGATGGGTGTTGTTATTGTAACTGACAGTATCTGTCTACTTTTGATGTACTTCAAATCATGTTTTCGTGTCAAAATATCCGTTTCACTCACAACATTAACTCAATCACCTTCATTTTCTAACCGAGCCACCTTTTATTTTAAAGATCTGGGACAGTATGACAACATTGTCGTGGGAGCCACTGTCGTTGGTTCCAACAGCAACGACGGGACTAAGACGGTAGACGGTGAAGTTGTTACGTATGGTGAACTCATCGACAATAAGTACGATACCGGCTACGTATTTGAAGCTGCCCAACTTGGACCCCAAGACCAGGTTATGCTTTTAATATTTTGCTTTCAACATTTAAGCAACTGAAGACAGCATTGGTGGACCACCGCTTCTAATTATCAAATTTCCAAAAATGATGTCATCTATACTAAAATATACTATACTAACCCATGCATTTCTTCAGATAAAACTTGTGGTCACATTCAAAAGTCCCGGTGACGGTGAAGACAGCTACGGAATCAATAAACTTTTCATCTTCTCCAAGAAGGACTTACCATCTGTTACCGGCTGGAAGGTAAAGACCGTAATTTAAGTTATAATTTTCCTTTTTTAACTGCATGTTTATGCTGACGCTTGCGTTACACTTATTATTCCATTCGCGTGAACTTTTATCGATTTGATACACAGCCTCCGTTTTACAGGTTTATTTCAAATCGATCCCGCGTAACGGGGCCGAATGGCCGTGTCAAAGAAATGACGGAACAGGGGAGGCAGTGCCCTCCACTGGCAAAAGGACCGAGAAGTGGGACGGCTGGGAAGCAGAAGTAAAGTGCGGTCCGAACACCCAGACTAAAAGCTTGATTCTAATTCATAAGAGTGCAATTTCTTACAACTGAAACGATCTGATGAGTGGCTGGATGCCATCGATCAAGAAACGAGTGTGAACTAGTATGGAAACCCGGCACTCAGACCTGCTCTAGATGCCCCCAAGGTTCGTCTTAAGATCAGACTATATTTTCAATGAAATTCGCACGATCTCAGATAAAAGTTTACAATCAGATATTTCCCCTTAAAAATCATGATCCCTTTGTAAACACAGAATATCCACAGGTCAGATTGGAGTTAAAGAAGGCGAGAGTGAACCTAGATGTGAAGATTGTCCTGCAGGATCATTTTCAGCTTACTTGGACACCTTTGAGCCTATACTGGAATGCTCTGAATGTAGTTCTGGTATGTCACCGTTACTTAATAAATTTATTTCAAAAAGTTTAAAAATTCGCTATCAATGATGCCCGGTTGTCATGTATTTCTATTTTGGTGACTTTTCTAAATGATTTTTTTTTCCAGGAAGTACTCAGAAGCAGGATCCTCGACTTGTACAGACTGTGAACCTGGCACCTATCAAGATGTTCCTGGGTTCTAGTTCCTGTAAAATATGTGTGGCCGGCACCTTCCAGGCGCTGGCGGGCAAGACTGGGTTCGAACAATGCGAGCCTGGTTACTCTTCTCTGGACAGATCCAGTGAGTGCTCTGCCTGCGCAGTCGGCTCCTTTGCTTCCATCAGTGGCTCAGCTGAGTGCACAGAGTGTTCACCGGGCGAATATCAGAAGGATCGGGGACAGAAATTCTGTCTGGGCTGTAAAGCAGGCACGTTTTCTAATGATTCCGGAGCTGATTCCTGCACACTCTGCCCAAAGGTAAAAAGTAAAACAAGGTGTTCTGTCCCGATTTAGTTCTATTTGTCATAAATAAGTTGTCTTAAGGTTATGGACATACACATAGCCGTGAAAATGAATACCTAAATTCTATTTTCTAACCCATTTTTTTGTTTTTTTTTCCCCCCCCAAAGTTTTTTCAACAACCATCAAGCCAGAGTTCATGTACAGAGTGTGAAGCTGGAGAGTACCAGTCTTTAGAAGGACAGACAGAGTGCATCAAGTGCAACGTCGGAACCTTCAACAACGAAAACGGGCAGGACTCTTGCGATCCTTGCCCGGTCGGCATGTAAGTTATTTGTTATCATTGTTCAAAAATTGTGATACTGAATCCGCCACAAAGTCATAGATAAGTGTGAATGAATCTACTGTGAGCTTACACCAAACTTGCGATATATCAAATTTAAAAGTTCTAACCGCAAATATTTTAGGTTTTTTGGATGCGATCCCAGAGGACCAGTATTTGAAGTATGTGAACCAGGTCAATACCAAGACGTGACGGGATCTATAGACTGTAAACTTTGTCCACCTCTAAAGTATCAAGATCAGCAAGGAGCCTCTCAATGCATAGATTGTGAGCAGGTACGTTTATCACTAAAAATAGGCTTATAATAAGCTACCTAAACATGGTAACGTAGCAGGCGAAATAATCACAGCCTTAATTGAAACTGCAATTAGAAACGACCCGACTAGTATGAGAAACCTTTTGTTTAATTATATTTCTCTAACAGCGAAATATCATTATAAGGAGCTCACACCTGTACAACTTGGCAAAGCAGACGTAATCTAGACTTCGCAACAAAAACCGTAAATGGGACTGACCGATGGAATCCTACTCTGAAGAGACGGCTGTGTCCTGTATCCAGTGTGATTTCATGTTTTACCAACCTATGAAGGGTTCCGTATCTTGTATCCCTTGTTGATGCGGTTAGTCTCAGATTTCAAGAGGCAATTTCAACTAAGTCGGCTTTTTTTAAACCTTTCACTTTCAGTCGGATGCTTGAATTTATTTATTTCGAAAACTTTCCGATCACAACTTCATTTGCATTTGAAGTATAAGTGTAACAGAAAATTGCTCAGTTGAGCATTCAATTGTGCATTCAATTGTTATATCACCCACAGGTCACGATAACAGAAGCAAAATGCTCGGTGAATTGCCAAACAGTGCGAGCGAGGAACCCCACCGCAGCAACCGACAACAGTGAGCCATTGTGTGAGCCAGCCAGCCAGGGATTCTTCCTCTGGACAGTATGGCTTGTCAGAGTGCCGAACCTATGACCTACGGACGCTACATCACGGTCAAGGGAAGGGGGGGGACAATCGAGTGCGAAAAGTTTGAGAAAGGAAGTTTTCCAGAGTGAAACCTGTGCATGAGACGTGCGAGTTTACCCCCTGGAACCTTCATTTGATGACGAAGGATTTCGAACTTAATCCAAGTATTCTGAAATTCCGTTATTTGAGGTATTGATTCCTCACCTCTCGGTCGGCGGCATTATTGATTTGATGAGTTCAAGTTAAATTCTGTACAAGTTTTTTCTGTTTCAGGACTCAGTTGAATTACGCTTTGTAAAGTGGATAACAGTTGCCTCAGAACGGTGGTTTTCCACAAGTTGTGTTGCCTGCTCCTACGGCTACTTACTCGCCCAAGAGGCCGGGAAAAAAATTCTTGCCTGTCCTAAAAGAGCCGCTTTAATCAACCACCCTCATGTCACTCAATTATTCCCAACTGTCCGGCCCAACAGTTCACTAATCATCAGTATGGAACCTTTAAATTCCCGAATGGAACCTCCTTGTGAATGCGGCTCTGGAAAAGCTCACGAACGAAATGTTAAATCGCCGTGAGTTTAACTTAAATAACCAAATATATTATTATTTAGACTGAGTCCTGAAATTAATTAATTTCATTTGTGTCCCTCGATCTTGTCGCAAAGTGGACGTTGAAAGTAGATCCGAAAAATCATATTTAACTCAAAGTACCCCACACCACGATTTGAATATGTGATTAACCACCCTATGATTTCAGTTGGATGTGAACGATGAGAAAGTGTTCCGCAAACATAACATCGAGTGCCAGACCTGGTTTGAGAGCGTGTTCCAGAAGATTGAATGGACCACGCCCTCCTACGCAAGTGCGAACCGTTAAGACTTGAAATTCTGAACCCCCATACGTTAGTAATTTGATTAGTTAATTGACTAAAAAAGATATTTGAAACAGAGTTTAATCATTTAAACATTTGTAGCGTACAGCCAATTCATTTTAGCACAGAATCCGTTGATCGGTATTTCAGAATGCAGCAGAGAGGCGATAAAAGAAGCTGAGCACCTCTGGCAAAAGTTCCGCGAAGCTACCGTAGATCCAACAGTAGCTACCTCTATGTTATCGGGTCTGATGGGAGCCTTAGGGACGCCCGCACGCTGATTCCAACAAACCCGAACCCAGATCCAACAAATCCAAATTAACAGTCCACAAACCCAGACCAAACAGATGCTAAAGATAACGAAAAGGAGAGGTGACTATGACTGCTGACACAGCCAGTGGGTGAAACACTCTCTCTGTGGTTGCTAACTCTGTACCCCCAAAGTTTTTGGCTAATCCCTAAAATCAGAAGAACATTCAGGGCGTCCTATCCAACAGCTTCGCAGAACAAGACGCGACTTTGTACAGATGCTGGACTGAACCGCTTCTCTGCTTGAGTACAATTTTATACCATAAATGACGTAATTAACTTTGAAATAGAAAGACAATAACTATTAAGCCCGAAAAAGTCCCACCTCTGAAAATAGTAACACCATCTTTATTTCTCAGAGGGCGGTAATTTTGGGACAATTCGATAGTGAGGCAAGCATGTCGCTGCCCGTAGAAGAACCTGAAACACCAACGAGATCGCATCGTCAGAGGAGATGGCGAACAACGGAGAACTAAACCGAAGAAAAAGAAATGAAAGAGTATAAAAACGGACACTATGACGATCCATTCCTACCCCGATGACCGAGAGACTTTGTCCAAGAGAGTGCAGAGTTGCACGCTAAATTAAAAATTCTTCTTGACAAAACTTTTTTCAAACAATCGATAGAAACTTTTAATTAATTCAAGACTTATCAACCAAAATATTGGTTCCATAATCCATTGATTTCAAAAATTAAAAGTAGAGAAATTTTATTGGTCCTCATAAAGAATCCAGGGTCCTTTCAGTTTTAGAGTCTTTGTTTTCAATGTTTCGGATCTAACGTTTTTAAAAGAATTAAAAGTCAAATGAAACAATTTTCAGTCGTTATATAGACTTTTGGGAATGATGAGGAGGAAGAGGAAGAAGAGACTGGAACTGATGATGCTATCACTGATGGAGCGAAGAACGAAGAACCACAGAACAAGAACTACCAGCAACAGAAGCCCCTGTCATTCCATAACCTGTCCATCTGAGGTGAAGAACAGCTCCACCAGCGCCCCTGCTCTGAGTATAGTGCGTAGAAACGAAACCATCCTTCCTTGTCAAGAAGATTGTCATGGTGGAAATGCCCCCTCTGTCCAATCTCTTCACTCGGCGTCTGGTGATAAAATAGTGAATGCCCAAGGGAACTAGTCTGCGTATATTTGAGACTCCAGCACTGTTTCCTACCAAGAAGGACGCTGACAACAGCACAGGCACTAAAAAACTATAAAAGGTGTATTGTTGAGCCGCAAGGTCATTATATTGTAGAAAATTCAATTACGTACATGTCACGTCACATGAAAAATAAGAATATATAAATGTTTAAAATGCCTATTCCAAGACGCAAATGAGTTAACGGTTCTTCATTTAACAAAAATCTCTGTCTGATTGCAATAATAATTTTGCAGGTAGTCAGTAAAGTAGTGCTCCTCTCACATTTGCTCCAAAACATCAGCAACATTTAATCCCCACTAGCTCTCATTTCACCAAAGATTAAACCTGAGGATTATGATCCAGTGACACAAGAAGTCCAGAACAAGTGTGTCCGTACTATCATAAAAGGTACTAGATTATAAAATGAATTAACAAAAAGTTACGAGCCCAGTTCTACAATTACAGTATAATGAGTTTAATGCGGAAAATCTCGACTACACTCTCATACTAATGACCGTAAAACATTTACTCACGCTTAACAATACGATTGCATTTTACTCCAATGTCTCCTCCACTCACTTACATTATGTTTCTATTATCA